TTTTTTTTTTTTTTTTTTTTTTTTTTTTTTTTTTATAATTTTGATTTTATAATTTCTTTTGTTAACGTTTATAGGCATGGGGGCACGTACAAGGTTTTGAAGAATCTGCTCAAGTACAAGTTGTTGCACCATGACTCTTCTAAATGTTGGTACCTTCTAATCCATTTACTATTGTTTGTAATAATAAAAAATAATCATAATCACGATAATGTAAATTTGTTGAAGTTCTTCAGAATGATCCTCTGATATGTGAAAACTCTCAATTTGATTTTAGATGACGGATTCCGCCTTACCTACCTTGGTTATGATTTTTTGGCCATTAAAACCATGGTGAACAAAGGAGTATTTGTGGGTGTTGGTCGACAGATTGGTGTTGGAAAGGAATCTGGTATTTTAGTTAATGTTCTTACGTGCTCTTCTTCATTCAATCGCATTTTCTGCTAATTATGTTGCCTTATGTGCTTTGCTAGATATATTTGAGGTTGTCCGTGAAGATGGAACAGTTCTAGCTATGAAGTTGCATAGGCTTGGTAGAGTCTCTTTTAGGGCTGTTAAATCTAAGCGTGACTACTTAAGACACCGCAGTAGTTATAATTGGCTCTATTTGTCTCGCCTTGCCGCACTTAAAGAATTTGCTTTCATGAAGGTTTTGCCTTCCTTCCTTTTGGTCTATCTAGCTGTATATTTGTATTATTATCTCTTGTTTGATTTTCTAGTGACTGACATGTGCGTTTTGCTTGAGCAGGCTTTGGAAACCCATGGCTTCCCTGTTCCAAATGCAATAGAACACAATAGGCATTGTGTAGTCATGTCACTTGTCCAAGGTTACCCTCTGTAGGTGTCCTTTATTAATTGTGCTAACTTTTAAAGCTTTTTCTGCGTGTTTGTTGTTCTTAAGCTGGCATTCTTGTTTGTAGTCTTTCTTTCACCTTTTTTTGCTGGTTTTGCTAAACAATTGCTTGATTTGTCTGTTTGGTTTTTCAAATATAGTGTTCAGGTTAAACAGTTACCGAATCCAGAGACAGTTTTTGAGACAATTATTGGTTTAGTTGTTCGGCTGGCAGAGCATGGCCTCATTCATTGTGATTTCAATGAATTTAACATCATGGTATGATATGACTCGTCAGCATAATGATTAATGAGGATTGTAAATTTTATTTCATGAAATCTGTTGTTCTGTTGGCTTTCACATCTAGTTTACACTGAATTCCATTCATTGTAGATTGATGATGATGAAAAAATTACAATGATTGATTTTCCACAAATGGTATCGGTGTCACATCGTAATGCGCAAATGTAAGAGTCTCCTCCTTGTGTGATAGTCTTTTCATAATTTTGTTTTGATATGTTATTATCGTGTTTTATTCATACACAGCCAAGCCTGTCACTTTGCATTGCTTTGTTTTGTTATCTGCTAATGAAGTGTACCATATCTTCGTGTCATTTGCATTCTAATCACAATAATGAATCTTCATAGTTCAACCCCCCTCCCCCCAGAAAAAAGAATCATTCTGTAATTCATTAATTAAATTGTTTGTGCAAATACATGTGTTGTTAAATTTGTTAGATATAAAACCAACATGATATGCCATAAGGCAACAATTTAATTTTGGCACAGCAATTTGATAGGTAGCGACCTGTTAGGAGTGTGCACAGTTGGCGAAATAAGCAGGGGACAGGGGATTAGACTGTAACAAACTCCCTATAATCATTGTAACAGAATAACTGAATGCATTAGTTAGAGAGGTGAGAGGTTTATCTAATAATGACCAGTATAGGGCATCATTTAGATCATTCATTGGTGGGGAGTTCAGGTCTCTGGAATATCGCTGATATTTTGCTCCAATAAAACTCAATCTGTGTTCTTCTTTTCTTTTTTTTACCCAATCCAGTTCTACCAGAATTTGAGTTAGAATATGCTAATGGTAGTTTTTTTTTTTTTTTTTAAGAAATATTTTTTGGGGTTTAATACCTTATAAATTTACCTATACAAGTTTGTTTATTGTCAATTGAAAGTAGTATCTGGTTATAGTTTCATACTTGTTAAGTTTGGAATTAAAATTAATATTCATTGTAAAAATAAAATTATGAAAATTTACAAAAAGCAACAGAAATGCTGCAGTTGTTTGCCTTAAATGTATGTTATTAATGGAAAATCCAACGATTCATTTTTCATTGTCAGTTTTGAGATGACAAATATACTTCATTTCTTGTGTAATTGCATATTATTTATCTTTGTTTCAGGTACTTTGACCGTGATGTTGAATGTATCTTCAAGTTTTTCAGGAAAAGGTTTGTTGTTATTTTGGCATCAAGTATTTGTCAATTTTAAAGTTGCTTTTGCATATTATTTTTAGTATATTGTTGTCTTGGTAACTCAAATTTTCAAAAATAATGTTAGGAAAAAGTAGAAAAGGTATTGTCACATCACTTGCACAAACTGTGTACTTAACTTCAATGAATAAGTAACTAGGTATGTCTGTTATCACAATTTAACGTAACTCGTTAAGAAGTGCATTTAGTACAAAAATATCAAGGGCATGGGCGGAGGACTTGGACTCATGATTCTTAGTGTTCTTTCCTTTTATGTTTGTCTTTCATTCTCTCATCCTTTCATCAAATTAAGAGCTTCCTCTAAGTTCATGTCCTTCATGTTGGGGGAAAAGAGTGTTATGCTCTTGAATCTTTTCTGTCTAACATGCATCTATATAAAACTAATATGCAATTTATAGTTGTCACTATAAACTATCCTGTTGTGGAGCTGTACTTACATGATTCCTTTTTCTAGTATTCAGAATACAACTTTTTAATATTACATTTAGTTTAGCCAGCATTCAAGTTATCTGAAAATCTTAAAATTTTGAAATCTTGTGCTATGATGTATGGATAGTGATCTGTTTATCTGATTAATTTTCAGAAAAGTTGTCAATCAGCCAGATTGAGCTCATCTTATGAGTCACGCCATAACTAAATAATTCTCATAGATTCGGAAGTTCTTTTTGAAAAGGCGTCAAGTTATAGAGATGATATATTACTAGAAATGGAGGGTAAGAGAAAAAGAAATCAAAGTAAAATAATAGAAAAGATGATTGCTGGCCTGTTGGTTGGGTGGGGCTCTATACCCCTGTGCCATGCTATCTCCTCATTTTCCCAAATTATAATAAGAAAAAGGAAGCACATTTTAACTTGCACACCTTGGTGAAAAGATATTTGAAGCACTCGTTTTTCATAACAAAGTGAAGTTTGTTCATTGGAACATACCCTTTTTTCCTTACCTTTTTTATGCTACTTAATCAAATAATAAATTTTTGTCTCCATATGTTTAGTGGTAATAAGTTTGAATGTTTTAATGATATTTTATTTAATCTATGCCTTAAATTTCTCCTGTATGTTTTTATGCCTTTAGTTTACCTGAAGTATTTAGTAATTTAATTTTTTCATTTGTTTTTGGTACATATAGTACTCTTATGCATATTTCATCTCCCATTTCTGATTGAATGGCTGATATATCTTTGGTTCTGAACTTGTTGAAAGATTTTGGATCTAGTATTTTGCTGCTAAATCAGTTATCTTTGTATTTAGTCTCACTTTTCTGTTTCAGGTTTAATCTTTCTTTTCAAGAAAGCATAGATGATATTGATGGTTCTGATGATGGAAGAGATGAAGCTGGAAAACCCTGTTTTTCTGCAATAGAAAGAAGTGCTGGTTTTCTAGATAGGGAACTTGCTGCCAGTGGGTTTACTAGAAAGGATGAAGAAGATATTCAGAGGGTATAGTGTTTTTCTTTTTCTTTGTGGGAAGGGAAGAAAATATGAAGATCATGTTGTTATAAAAGGCAACACAACTTTGCTTTTATATTTTCCACCTCTTTTGGCTTAGCTGCCAACATGCAGCATGGAATCTCCGTTTGTGAAGCATAATATCATTATCATACATTGGAACCAGAATTGTCTGATTTTAGTTATAACGCATAGAATGTCAAGCTTTTATCCTATATTTGGTTCAGCCTCAATGGTCTTCAAATCTATGTGCAGTTCATTGAAGGTGGGGCAGAGAGTGATACAAATTCAGATAGTGAAGGTGTTGACATTGTAGAAGACCTGAATGAAGCAGAAACGGTAGATGGTGATTCTTCACATTTGTTGGAACAGGTAATGTCTTCATTAACATTGGTTGTCATAAAAGAAATAGAGACTATGGAAAAATGTGTTGTTACTTATTTTACTGTAATATAATTTATTCTTCCCATGTTTAGCAAACCTGTGTTGAAGAACATAGGAAGAATACCAAACTAACATTCTGGGCTTGAGATAGTCGAGCTTGATATTTTCATTGTTCTGATTGTAAGATTAGATATGGTGTCTACCGTGATATGATTAATGAACTGATGTAAATTTTAATATCCAAAAGTTCATCTGAAATTTTATTTTTAGTTCGTCCATTGACTAGTGGGCATATATATTCAGCCATAACATTTTCAGCTTATTTCATTAGTTGTGCAATTTTGTTTTTTTGCAATCTTAATCGAAGGATTGTTATTATGTTTTAACCAGAATGAGGGATATGATAGTAAGGGGAAAGAGGAGAGTTGTGAAGCACGTGAAAGCAGTGGATCTGAAAAGGAAGATGCAAGTGACAATGTAAGCTATGTTTAATTCTTTTTACTGGATGGTTATCTTAATGCTATGTTTGTGCTGCTTCCTTTTCCTCTGCATTATATTATATTCAAAGAATTTCTTGTCTTAAAGCGGCCCATGATGAATTTTTTGGGAAATAGCGTGTATCAGTGTATGTCTGTGTCTGACTTGTTAACAAGGAATGTTATGCCTAATTGCCTATGCTCTTGTAGAGTTCTAGTGCATTTCGTCTCTAATCTTGATGTTACTTGTATGTTATTCCGGAACTAGAATTTTCTCAACCACAGGCTCGTTTTTTTTTAATTGGTGTGGAACATTATTTCCTTGTATTGCCTCTTTAAAAAGTTAAAACTGCTATGTGAAGGGCTTGCATGGTTCCTTGGTTTAGTTCATAAGGGTAGTAGTAGACCATTATCAATGTGATTTGGTTTTTCTTCAAGATCTATTTTTTGTAAAAATCCAAAGGGCACAACGGAGCTTTATATTATTCTTGTTTATAGAAAGCTTGTTATTTGGCCTTTGCATGGAAGCTTGAATGATGGTCATTTTGATTCACAGGAGGAAAACAATCAAGATGCAATGGAAAATGAAGCCGAACTCGATAAGAGCTTGAATAAGCAAAGACGACGAGCCATAGCGGCAGCTCATAGGGGTCGAAAGACTCTTGCATCCAGAAATTCGTACAAGGACAAAGGTGGTAGGTCATCTCACAATTCTAAAATCCAGAAACAGTTGAGCAGCTGGTGAGATATGGGAGACAAAACCCATTTTAATGACCTTGTTGTGGAGTGAACTGAATGAAAAGGACTTCATATAGTTTCAATGGTGCCATGTATCAGATAGCATTGAAGTTTTGGTAGGCTATCGTAGTTTGCCTTTATATGTTCAAAGTTCAATATATGTAAAGTTCGAAGATATGAAAGCAAATAGGATTGTCGACCCTCCTGTGGAGGATAATCATATTCTTTCCAAGTGTTATATTTATTTCAAATGAAAATTTTTCCTCTATACGAAAATTGTCTGTCTTGCAGATTTTTTGGTTGGACATTGAATTTTGAAAGCTGCTATTAATTATTTTCTGCTATGATTTGAAGTCTGATTCTTGCAACAGGATATATACACCCTTATGGTTCTTTTTCATTATTATTTTTTGAAGTGTGGTTTTGTTGTTGAGATTGGAAACACCTAATTAGGCCTGGATTTTTATTTATTAAAGAAAAAAGAAAAAATCACCTGTTACTAGTGAGAAAAGAAAAAGGAGAAAAAAAGAGGCAAGACAATAGGTAAACCGGACCCGATCCAATGTGCCTTCAGACCCACTTCAATACTCGTTAAATGTAGGGATTTCTTTTGCAGTGCAATTAAGTATTTTGACAGTAGTACCTTTAAACACAATTGAAAATTTAATTCTAGAGTCTGAAATCCGGGCCTCTCCCAAACATTACATGAAACCTTAGCCTTCTTACTTCGCAGTTTGCAGCCGCCATATTTTGATCACATAAATTTCCCCAAGAAACATCTGCATCCTATATTCCTATTCTTTCTGCCAAGTCTGTAGAAATCTAAGAAATTAAAAGAGAAAATTTCTGACAACTTTATTTTCATATATTTTCTAATCTTATAAACAAAGAGACCAATTTATATATAGAACAGAGGAAGAGTATAAAGGAAGATAAAAAGGATTAATAAGCTAATGTTGAGCTAGCAAAGCACAAATTAGCTTACAGCATAATAGAGAATAACACTTTTACTTTATTATAACTCTTCTACTTTATTATAGTCTCTCAAACTCAAGATTGTGAGGAACTCAAAACCCTAAGTTTGTCTATAAGAAATCGGAATTGAGTCTTTGTAAGAGGCTTAATGAGGATATCAACAACTTGAGCATTAACATAAGAGACAATTAGTGACTTGTTAAGAACCTTTTCACATACAAAGAATATATCCAATTCCATATGCTTTGTTTTCGAGTGTAGAACATGATTGTGACTCAAGGCAATAGTGCTTTGATTGTCACGGATGACTGGTGTAGGAACAAGTTTATTGAGTTGAGGTTGTATGACAAGTTGAATTGTAAGTAGGGGTGTTTATGGATCGGTTTTTTCAAAAAATTGATCCAAACCGAATCGAACCGTTTTATAAAAGTAGATTGGTTAACCGATCCATTTTTTATAAAGTGGATCGGTTTGGTTTTTTTAAAACCTGGATCGGTTTTTTTGAAATTGGATCGGTTCAGTGCGGTTCAGTTATCCATTTTTTTACTCATATATGGATCGGTTTTTTTAGAAAACCAAACCGAACCGAACCGATCCACTTTGTAAAATTGGATCGAATAACTAAACCGGTTTTATAAAGTGGTTCGACTTGGATTTGTTTTCAAAATGGATCGGATTTTTCAATATGGATCGGATCGGTTATGGATCGGTTCGGATCAATTTGGATTTTTTGCACACCCCTAATTGTAAGTTGAGATGGTGAAGGGCAAATATACTAGTAAGGATACCATTATTATAGGCAACATTCTAAGATGTTGCATAGTACTATGGTGGGGTAATGCAATTTTGTTGCTAAGTAAGATAATTTTGTTGTGAAAGAGCATAGTTTGGATTGAGCCTATGATATCAATAAGATGCATCATGACCAAACTTGTAGCATACTAGACGTTGAATGCTACTACAATTTCCATGACCTCCTTTACGACCTGAGCGAGCACTACTACCATTATTAAAACAAAAAAATTAAGAATTATGTTATAGGTTGAGAGGTTGTGCCAACAAAATTAGTTTAAGGTATGAGATTAGTAGTTGTAGGCTATTCTAAAACCATAGGTCGTGCTTGAGTCAAATTCAAGGCAGAAACAAAATCAAACATCTCTTTTTGCTTGTTAATGCAACTTTCTTGAGTGAACAAAATTGATTCAATATGATCAAAATCAAACTAATCTAGTTTGCTATTGATAAGAGCAACAACAACTTCATATTCAACATGTAAAGCTTCAAGAAAAACATCAATTTGTTCTTGAATAGAAACAATTTGACCTATAGAAATGAAAGAATCAGAAATTGATTTGATTCTTATGAGTACTTGTAAAATAGATTGACCTCCTTTCTTAGTGGTACGAAGTATGGATTGAAGGTGTTAAGCCTGTGCCTTGGTCTTATAATGAACATGGTGATGAATCTTTTCCCATAGTTGCTAGGAGTAACGACATCTGATATCTTTGGCTAAAATGGAGGACAATAATGATGATTGAAGTCATGCAAAAAATAGTTGACTTTGTAGTTCCCAAGTTATAAATGTTGGATTTTCAATATCAACCCTGTGAACTGCTTTAGTGAGATAACAACTAGGGATTTGAGGAGCAACACAAAACCTATGCAAATGATATGCATGAAGAACCAATTCAACTTGTTGGAGTTAAACGAGATAATTATCATCAAATAATTTCTCAATAATTGAAAAATGAAGAAAGCATTAGAGAAGACAACGATTGCAAATTCACTAGTGAAAAATAAGAATTCAATAATAGAGGATGCATATTAGGATTAGAAGGCATATGAGATGGTACAAGCTTTGGATATCATGTAGAAATCTAATAAATTAGGAGAATTTTTTTTAGAACCTGTATTTTCATATATTTTCTGATCTCATAAACAAAGAGGCCAATTTATATATAACATAAAGGAAGAGTATAAAGGAAGATACAAAAGCATTAGCAAATTAATTATGAGCTGACAAAGCACCAATCAACTTACAACATAGCAGAGAAGAACTCTATTAAAATCAAGCCTAAGCTTCACTAAATAAATTATGCATGTTTTCTTTATAAATTTAAATAGTTTCTTTTAATATTTATTTTCTCAACTTACATTTAAATATTGTATCTGAATGTGAAAATATACCAACAACATACGGGATAAAGTAATAAAATTGGGTCCAAATTCTTTGCCACTAAAAACTCATTTTCTAGCCTATGCTCCAAAGTGCCCATTTCTAGACTAAGGCCCTAAGTTTTTTCTTTTATCTCATAAGCTTTTAAGTTGAACTATTTATAAGAAAAAAATCCTGCCCCAAGAAAAAATTAACAATTTGTGGCCCATCTTCATAACATTGCTACATTAGTCTCAGTCGTCAATCAACAGTCCATGCATGAAGATACTAAAAAAACCAAACCACGTTTGTTTGTGCATGGTTTTTAGAGTTAGCAATTCTTCCATCTCTAAAGAAATGTCAATTTCACTGATACTATCCAACCTAAAGATGGTGAGAGTTGATTTTTTTTTTAATTATGTTCTCACAATAAACACTTTTAAATATGTTGAGGGAACAGACAAATTTTAAAAACGAGAAAACTGATTTTGAAAGCAATAAACAAACAAGCATAAGTCTAAGTACATCCTTTAATTAATTTCTATATATATTTTTTCAGATGAGATCAAAAGAAAGATTGGTCTCCCACCTCATCTTTTTTAGGTGATATACATTATATAGCTTTCAAAGCAAGCATTTGTGGACCAACTGAGTTTTGAGAATATAAGAAATTGTTCAAAAAATCAAGTCTTTTTAATTGAAATTTGTCTGCCTTGTATAACTAATTAATCCTTTGGTTTTTCATTTTGGATGATTCCAAAGGACATAAATCAATTAAAGACAGCCCCGCACAGATGCCTGATGCTATGTGATTTCATGCAAACACACAAGAACTGTGAAATGATACTTTGTAATTTGGCCAGTATTTCCTTATTTATGGAATACATTTTACTTGGTTTTACTTGTGGTTCGAATAGGTAGTTTGTTCAAAAAACCAATTACTTGGTCGTGCTACATTTTTTTTTTACGAAGTCTATTTATAATATGAACAAAATTTTGATGGTGTCGGTCCCTTCTAAACCCTCTGTTTGTATCTAGTTCTTTATATATAATTTACTGGTTATAAGATCGTGTTGTTAATTGTCCTCTTTAAGAACAATTTGGGGGCTCAAATTTCACTCACATATTTGTAGCTGCCATTCATACATTTATATAAATATTTTCCAATAAAGATGTGTATGATGTGTGATTTTCTGATATGGACAAAAAGCAAAACGCATTAAGCATGAATACTGTACACAGGATGGGTCTTCGTATTTTGATGTGTTCTAATAACAAAAAGTCTTCATAATTATTTGCAATCTTTGTAACGACCCGACAGGCCACTACACTCACAACCACA